CTTTATAGCATTCATTGCCTTTAAGTCCGAGCACTACTGCATTAGTCTTATTGAACATGTCCAGATATGCACAATGATTTTTCAAAAGAAGGTCACCAATGAAATAAGGTCAAAATAAGACAGAAATGGAAGAACGTTGTTCTTTATAAGAAGACGTTTTTCGTTGCTTCCTGGCATACCTGATAGCTGCTTGCAAAACAAAACAGTTTGTTTCGGCATTATCCAAGTGTTCCCAACAACACGCAAAAAATGTTTCAAAAAAATCGATCTGTTTTCTTGAAGACCTATCCGATAGTACGAACCTGTTGCACTGCTTTCACGATAGAAGTCTGCCGTTGGCATTGACAAATTTCGTTTACATAGTTGACAAATCTGAAAATGACCATACTACAACTTTTACTGACAATATTCACTGCGAGATAAACAACTGTTATAGATCAACACAAGTTACCGAATGCTGGTAATTAAATCGAACATAACAGCCCTCACATTGGTAGGAGCCAATTTTTGCGCGGTGAGAAGGTTTACGGGTTCCCGAGAAGATGCCCGTCGCACGGCATAAAGCAGAGTCAGCGAACGAGTCGCGACTTGAAATCACGACATTACGCGGTGCGACTCGCCCGCTGACTCCGCCTTCTTGCCGCGCGATGGGCCTCCTGTCGGATACTGGAAGTTACGGGAGCAGAGAGTGAAGGCAGCAGGATCAACGCTGAGCATTTTTTTCAAATACGATCTGTTAGACCAACCCGTCAGCAATTTTTCCCTCTGACAGCAGATATTCGGCGGTCGGCTTGGAACCCTTTACTTGACTTCATTATGAGTCTAACCCAGGATCAATTTCGAATTTATATTAGGTGGTCCATAAGTCTTGCAACAAACTGGCTAAATTTTGAATTTAATATTTTTATTATCTTTTTGTTCCATTCATCCAGCATGCTACCCTCCATCAATATCTACAACCTATTGCCAACACACTAGTAGCTGTTCGATGCCTCCCTTGTAGGACTCTACTGAATTCTGATCGAAGAAAGATCAGATGTCGATTTTGACATCATCATAGTTAGGATGAGCTTTCTTCTCTAGGAGATGGTTTGGAGAGGGGAGCAGAAGGGCATTATTTGCCTCGAGGTCAGGGCTATAAGGTGATGCAGAAAGAACTCTCCGTCCTAGAGTCTCAAAATTTTTCTGAATTTTCTTAGCAAAAAGCAAGAGGTGGTTTAACGGTGTCATACAAAAGCAAACTTTGCCTTGTTTTTCTTTCGTATTAAAAGCGTTGCATTCGAGCTGTGGATGGTTGACTGCGACATCTACACGTAGGGGTTTCCAGAGCTTAACTCCTCGTGTTCCACCAAAAATCCGAGAAGGCCCTACTTGGACGAGGTTGAACTTAAGCAGTAAGAACTCCCGAAGCGTTTGAGCTGGACTACCGCCGCTTGTTCATTTGTTAGCACACTGTACCCTCCTCATCTTCGGCAAATGTGATGGATGGTCAATCGAAGAATCCATAGTAAGTCGACTTGAACATAACGGTGTCAGATCGTGTTTGGAGCTGAATCGGGCTCAAGGCACGTGGGGACCAAACTCTATATTTTCGGATCTTCACAAGTCTTTGGAGATGCCACAGTGCTGTCTCCTTGTCGCATCGGAATTGCTCTAGCAAATGATCGATACTCCAGATCCCTTTTCAACAGCGTCAGATAGAGCATCGTGATTGCCAGTCACGGGGTGGTTGGAGTGTGGATCATCTTCAAAAAAAAGTCAACGCTGAGCAGAGTGAAGCGCCGTTGCACCGTGAATTGAGAGAGCGTGCCCTCGCCCATCTTCTGGCTAATCCTTGGTGTAGCATGACTTGCGGAACATTCCAAGCAGTACTCGTAAAAATTAAGGGCACGAAGAGCTTTTCGCGAAATCGGTGTAATATCCATAACAAGTAGCGAGACAACGAGCTGGACGGTTGGCTGAAATTGCAAAGGTGGATGCTACGTCAACAAACATGTTGCGGATTTTCGGAGTTCTCCAAAAATTCTCTAGCATTAAATGTAATTTGTTGCAAGACTTATGGACCAACCTAATATTTTTAGTGCCTACGCAAATGGCAATGTAAAGGAGAGTCAAAGACAAACTGTCAGGTTGGTCTATTCAGTGGAAATTTCTTGCTCTAGTCTCCTTTATTTACTCGAAATCTCGATCATAGAGATATCTGATCAGTTATACAAAATTTACCATG